CGGGGGCGGGTGGGTGCGGGTCCCGGGGAAGGCGCGGCACGTGCCCGCGGGGCCCGGATGCCTTCCCCTCCTCCCATCCCCCACGCTCCTCCCCCAGGCTGGGGGCGCCAGGAGTCCCGACCAGCCGCCGCCTCCCTCACCGCCCTCTTTGTCCCAGAGGCCGCCAGGGTCCTCCGTCCCACCCGATGCCCCACCCTCTTCGGGAGCAATCGTGCCCAAAGCCTGCTGCCCGTTCTGGTCGCTCCGGTCACCTCCACGCCCCAGCACCGACTGCCTGCAGGGTCCCCGCAGTGGTCTCACCCTGCGCACACATGCCCCCTGCGCTCTGCAACCTGCACTGACTCTAGCACCAGACTGACCCTCCCTCACCTACTTGAAAGCTCACGCCCCTTTGTCCTGCCCTAAACCCTCCCAACACAGATTGGTCACAGATTGGCGGCACTTGGGCAAAAGGGTTTGGGAGATATCTTTGTAAGAGTCTTAGTAAATAAGCAACAGCTGTACCCCCCCCAGCTTGCTTTTCCAGGTCACCCTTGTCCCCACTACCATCACTTTGCCCCGAGGCATCTGAGTTTGAAACTCTCCCCTCTGGCTGCTACTCCTTTCGGTGTCCTTCCAACAAGAACTGCCAGCACTGACCTCTCCCTTTGTGCCACCAGATGGTCACCATGGGCCAGTGCTACTACAACGAGACCATCGGTTTCTTCTACAACAACAGTGGCAAGGAGCTCAGCTCCCACTGGCGGCCCAAGGATGTGGTTGTGGTGGCGCTGGGGCTGACAGTCAGCGTGCTGGTGCTGCTGACCAACCTGCTGGTCATTGCAGCCATCGCCTCCAACCGCCGCTTCCACCAGCCCATCTACTACCTGCTCGGCAACCTGGCCGCAGCTGACCTCTTTGCCGGCGTGGCCTACCTTTTCCTCATGTTCCACACGGGCCCTCGCACTGCCCGGCTCTCACTTGAGGGCTGGTTCCTGCGGCAGGGCCTCCTGGACACGAGCCTGACGGCATCGGTGGCCACACTGCTGGCCATCGCCGTGGAGCGGCACCGCAGTGTGATGGCCGTCCAGCTGCACAGCCGCTTGCCCCGTGGCCGCGTCGTCATGCTCATCGTGGGCGTGTGGGTCGCTGCACTGGGCCTGGGGCTGCTGCCCGCCCACTCCTGGCACTGCCTCTGTGCTCTGGACCGCTGCTCACGCATGGCTCCCCTGCTCAGCCGCTCCTACCTGGCCGTCTGGGCCCTGTCCAGCCTGCTCGTCTTCCTGCTCATGGTGGCTGTCTACACTCGCATTTTTTTCTACGTGCGGCGACGGGTGCAGCGCATGGCGGAGCATGTCAGCTGCCACCCCCGCTACCGTGAGACCACGCTCAGCCTGGTCAAGACTGTTGTCATCATCCTGGGTGAGTGGGAGCCCACTTGCCCCAACTGCCACAGACCTGATAAAGTGTGATGGGAGGGGATGGTTTGGGTGGGCAGTGTCCTCCAAGGAAGTGATATCTGAGCAGAGACCTGCATGCTGGGAAAGGGAAGAGTTCCAGGCAGAGGGAACAGAAGGTGAAAGCCCCAGTCAGGACCAGGCCAGCGCTTCCAAAAGGAGAGGAGGCCAGCATGGCTAGCCTGTGCCCAGGAGAGGTCAGCACAGCCTCAAAGCACACAGACAGGAGCCAGATTTTGTTCTGAGTTCCTTAAGGAAGGCCTTAAGTTTTTAGCAGAGTAATGTGTTTGTTCACTCTGGCTGTTGAATGTAGGATGGTTGGGGTGGGGGAGGCAGCAAGAGCCTTTCCCACGGGGATACCCCCCAAGAACAAAGAGCGACTCTTGCCAAAGATCCCCTCCCGCCCAAGTAACTGGCCTGTCCCACGGTGATCTCCTTTCCCCCACAGAACAAATGTCCATGTAGAAATATCCAGGCCCTGGCCACCTTGGACCAGTTAGGAAAAGGTGTCCTCTCTTAGCGGTTCTGACCCATCATGCTGCCAAGGCAGCAAGACAGGCAGCTCTTACCCTGCAAACTGCACAGCTGTTGCCCGAGCCCTGGAGACCCCTCCAACCCTGAGCTCAGAGCTGCGGGTGCTGGGCCTCCAACAGCTGGCCCCACTCACTTCAGGCTCCATCCTGCAGGGGCGTTCGTGGTCTGCTGGACGCCAGGCCAGGTGGTGCTGCTCCTGGATGGTCTGGGCTGCAAGTCTTGCAACGTCCTGGCTGTGGAGAAATATTTTCTACTTTTAGCTGAGGCCAACTCACTGGTCAATGCCGTGGTGTACTCATGCCGTGATGCTGAGATGCGCCGCACCTTCCGCCGCCTCCTCTGCTGTCTGTGCCTCCGCCGGTCCACCCACGAGTCTGCCAGCTACACACCCTCCACCCGGACAGGTGCCAGCACTCACATCATGCTTCCTGAAAATGGCCACCCCCTGATGGACTCCACCCTTTAGCCAACCTTGGACTTCAGCAGGGTGCAGTAAGCGCCAGATCACAGCATCTGACCACTTATGGATGCGCCTGGCTCTACCCAATCTGTGGGATAGACTTAAAGGCAGATCCTCGGTCTGGCATGGCACAGCACCACTGCCAGCCCTACCTAGGCAACAGCTCTGCCTGCCCCAGGGCCTGGGTGTTTGGGGTCATTTCTAAGCACTCCGGAGAGAGTCAGATGCAGTGCGGGAATCTGGCTCTTCAGTCATCTCAGGTTGTGGGGTTTTTAAATGGACATTTTTCTATTTTTACTGCACATCCCTGGTAAACTCTGTGAATGGCTGTCTCGTCCGTGGTGGTATGGGTGTTAAGGGTGGAAAAGATGAGGGCTCTCTCAGGCCACGCTGCCCAGTGCAATAGCATAACAAGGACGGAACGTGGATGCACTTATCTGCCTGAGGCTGATTCTGTAGGGGCACAGACTGAGGGGTGCTGAGTGTAAGCTGGGAAATATTTGTGGCCCCTTGCAGCCTCTGAGGGGTCTTTCCTGTCCCCATTAGAATTGAGGGGTTCTATAGGAAGGGCATGATATAAGGAATAAACCATTCTTTTTGCTCTGTCTCCAAAGCATTTTCTGTCATCAACTTAGTCTCTGTCCCTGTGTCCCAGAATTGTCCACCTTGGCTCAGACTGTGCTGGGCTCCTTCAACATGGCATCTTCTTGGCTCTGTTCTCGTTCCTCTTTGGTCTCTGCCTGGCTGTTACTCCATCTCTGTTGTTGGAATCTTGCATCCATTTCCTTTTGTCTCTGTCTCCTCTGCCTGTTCCCCTGCCTCATCTCACCAGTCACCTGTCTGTTTCTGTCCTCTGGAGCCCAGAATGGTCTCTGACCCGTGTGAGCCCTCTCTCTCCCGCCTGCCCTTTTGTCTGAGTCTAGGTTGTGAATAGTCAGGTGTGTCCATCCCATTGCCCACCCCACCTCCTACATACATATCTGTGGGCCGAGGGTAGTGGGGTCTATGAAGCAGGATGCAGGATTTGAGAGTTGCCATTTCTCAAGCTCCTCTGATGTGCCTGGAACACTGATAAGCACTTTAGATGCATTATTTAATCATCACCTGCATCTTGTGAAATAAGTATTACACTTATTTTCACGTGAGGACAGTGGTTCAGAGAGGTTGAGATCTGGCCGACGGTTACACAGCTTTGAAAGGGCACAGAGATGCATCAAGGGACAAGAGAGGCCCCTGGGGAAAGGGCTTCAGATTCCCACAAAGTCCAGGGTTGGTCACAAGCTCAGCCTGGCTTTCCCCACCTCACCCACGGCCCCTCAAGGCCTCAGATGTGCCAGACCCATGATGAGCCCCATCTCAGATGCTCATAGAGGCACCCTGCCAGACACGATGTAGACCAGGACCTAGATTCTCTGCTGCTGGCTCACCAGGGAGGAGACAGGGTTATGTCTCTACTTTAGGTTCACATGCTGAATAACAGCTGGAATTTGAACCCAGTCCTCTCATCAGAGGCCATTTCTTTTTTTTTTTTAAAGAGATTTTATTTATTTTTTTTTTATAATTTTATTTATTTTTCCCCCCAAAGCCCCAGCAGGTAGTTGTATGTCATAGTTGCACATCCTTCTAGTTGCTGTACGTGGGACACGACCTCAGCATGGCCGGAGAAGTGGTGCGTCGGTGCGCGCCCGGGATCTGAACCCGGGCCGCCAGCAGCAGAGCGCGTGCACTTAACTGCTAAGCCACAGGGCTGGCCCAGAGGCCATTTCTTAAACTATTAAAGCACACATTGCCAAAGAACCAAAAACATCTAGGTCTTTCTACATTAAATGGGGGTGCGTTTCTCTTTGAGAAAACTCCCCCTGCCCTAAGACAACTCTTTGAGGCGGCAAGAATGAACTGGGGTGCTGGGTACTTCTCCAGGGTCCAAGGTGGGCAGCATGGCTCCTAAGGCCTGGGGCCTGAATCTCCAGGGGTGATGACCCAGGCAAGCACCTTTCACCATGTGCCCAGGCACACACCCATGAAAGATGCAGTCCCTGCCTCCATGGAGCTCCGGGACTGCTGGACAAACATGTCACTTTGGGTGCCAAGGCAGCCGACCAATTTCTATGGGATGGGAACCCCCAATGGCCTCCAAAAGGCAGCTCTGTGTTTCACCTGCTCTGAGCTGGCTGCTCTTGCATCAGCATCCTCCAGGTTCTAACCCCCACTCCTCAGATATCATTTGAGATCTTGTCCCATTATTCTTTCCTCTCTCATAGGTCTCTTCTCTACACCAGGTGACTTCATGTTTTTGTCTCTGCTGGGCCCTGAAGCTTTCAACCCTCTCTCCCCACCACAGTTCTCTGAAGGAGACCAAAGTTACCCACTACTTTTCAGGCTTCCTATGCAGTGCTGCACTAGCAGTTGACCTTTTGCACAAGCTCTCCATGGTCCCCACATATTCTAGTACTTCCTGTTACTGGGGCCAAGTGTTAGGTTTCCTTCATCAGGGAGCTTTCTAGGTTGTTCTTACACTGGTTCATATCACTCATTTCCATTCCCAGCTGTCTCTTTTGGAGTCTCCCCAATGTAATCATGCCAGTTGGTGTTTGCATTTCCTCTCCAGCAGCAATGGGAAGATGGGTCTAGCGAGGCTGAGAACTCTTTATGAGCCTGCATCTGGAGTCTGTCCTCAGAGCAAACAGGCTCTAGGAGGTTCCATGACTTTGGAGAAGTGATTCATGCCCAGTCTGTTCCTTTTCCCTCATACGAGGATCCTTCTCTGATGCCGTGAGTCCCAATGGCTAGAAACAAAGACCCGTGAAGATTTGCTCTGACTTGGGGTGCATTGCAGGGTAGATTCTTAGGAAGCATCCTTCATTCATTGGGTAACCACATGCTAGCATTTTTCTAGGCCCAGAATGCTGTAGAGCAAGAGAATGAATAAACAGGTGAGGTCACTCTCAAGCCAAACCTCAAAAGGTAAATAAAGTTGATTTGTGCAGCTGAGAAAATCACTCAGTTCTAACCTCCTAGCCACCATCACCACACACCTGCGCCCCTCATGGAATGCTTGGGGTGGGGGGACTGCGGGGAGCCAGGAGGCGGGGAGCCCTAGTCACCCACCTGATGGAGCTGAGGCTGAGGGGAACATTAGGAGACTGAGCAGGGGTCTGGGGCTTGGGGCTTCTGGAGAGGAATGGGGGGATATTGATGGGACTCGCAGAGCCATGGAGTGTTCTCAGAAGGAAGGGGCGGCTTGAAGGAAGAGTGGGGTGCTCTGAGAAGTGAGGACTCAGATGTGTGGGTCCCTGAGGAGTGAGTGGCTCCGATATATGGGGGCCTCTGAGGAAGAGTAGGGAGCTTTGAGGAGGAGTGGAAGCTCTAAGGGTAGTGGGGAGCTCTGAGGAGGAGTGGGGGCTCTGAGAAGTGTGGTCTTGGAAGAGCGGGGTCTCTGAGGCGATGTGGAGGCTCTGAGGAGGTGTGGGGGCTCTGAGAAGAAGGAGTACGTTTTCTGAGCAGTAGTGTGGCTGCTCTGAGGAAGAGCGAGAGGCGGAGATGTGGGGGGTGGGGGCCTTTGAAGCGAAGGATAGCCGGCGTCGCCCTTTCCCGGGCTGGAGGATGGTAGGAGTGAGAGTCGCCGTTGCCTCGGCAACCCCCAACCGAGTCTCGGGCCGTTGAGAGGCGCTGTTAGGGGCGTGTCCGTGGGCGGTGCGCGGCCTCCTGACTGGCGGCGGGCGGCGGTTGGCGGGCGGGACTCGGGCGCGCGCGCGGCGTATAGACGGCGGCGGTTGGCCGCGGCGCCGGCGCTAGTGTCCCTGGCCCCGCGCCTCCTCCTCTGCGCCGGTGGGGCCCAGCCGCCCATGGACACCGCGCCGCGCGCGCAGCGCTCCGCTCCCCACTGCCCTGCGCCGCTCGCCGCCCGGGCCCCCGCCGGGCCCCGACACGGACGACGTGCGACAGCAGATCATGGCTATCATCGACCAGAGCTTGGATGAGGTGCAGGCCAGGTGCTGCGCGGGCTCGGCGGGGGCAGGGGCCCCCCAAAGTCGCTGCAGTGAAGGGAGTGGGCCGAGGGGCCAGGGCCCGGGCGGCTGGGGCCTGAGGAGTGAGGAGGGTGCGAGGAGAGAGGGTGGGGTGAGTCTCTGGGTGGGTGGGGGGCAGGGGAGATGAGGCGTCGTGGGGAGGACTGAAGTCTTGGGGGTCTGCGGCCGAAGGGATTTCTGGAGTGAACCTGGAACGACTTGAAAGGCTTAGGGAGCTGAGCAGTGGGTGATGGGTTCTAGGAGTTCGTCATGGGGCGACAGGAATGGGGTTTAAGGGGAGTTTGTGGATGGGGAGGTTTATGGTGAAAGGGGGTGTAAGGGCTGAGAGAATGGTGCACCCGGGATTTATGAAGGATGGACGAGTGAGTGAGTGGGATTTTATGAGGGTGGGAAGTTTTGAGGACAGAGAGAATGGAGAGTGAGTTGTGGGAATGAAGAGATGGGGTGACTTGGATGCGGAAACCATCAGGAAAAATGGTTAGTGGGGGAGCTAGGTGGAGACGGAGGACCACCTTTTTATTAATTCGGCAAATATTTATTCGACACTTACTATGTGCGGGGCGCCGATCTGGGTGCTGACATAGTCCCTGCTCTCAAGCTCAGAGTTTGAGGGAGAGAAGTAGCAAAAAATAGATGTAAATCGTGAGAAAAGCTGTAAGGAAAAGGATGGCATACAGTGGGAAGCCAGGTGGAGAAGAGTAGGCTAGGCTGTGGAGAGGGCACCTCATGGCACCTTCAGAGGTCCCAAGGGGGAAAGAGCAGGAAGAAAGCAGAATCAGGGACTGTAAGTCCCAGGTTGAGTTTGGAGAGATGCTTGAATCGGATCACACCGAGCCTACAAGTCTCAGAAAGGAGTTTGGATTTTATTTCAGTTGCAATGGGAAAATCACAGACCATCTGTCCTACTTACCTCTACCCACCACTTGTCAGCCAGCCACGACTGGTAAAATCTGCTTCACAAGGCAGTCCATTGTGTTTGGGGCCTGCTTGAATTATTAGAAAATAGGAAAGGATTGAAGGAAGTCCTTTTGGAGGATGAGGCCTTGTTGAATGGGGCCTGTTTGGGGGTGAAGGACGGTCCTGGGGATGGGACCAGGGTCTGGTGGTGTGGACTTTGCAATAACTAGAGACCTCTAGTGAGGAGGAGTTACAAAGCCAGGTGAACAGCAGCCCAAGGAAGGAAGAGGCAAAGTAAAAGGTGGATATGGCATGTATTTGTTCTTCACACTTTCTTTCCTTTGCTTCTTGGGGAGTGTCAACTCTTTCTGCAGTTGTAGAGCCTCTATCTGGAAAGTTAGGAGTGTCAGCCCACCACCAGCACCACCATCATGATCACCATGTTCATTCTACTTTTTGGAGCATTGTACTAGGTGCTAGAGAAACAGAGATGGCTAAGGTGTTCTCTGAGCTCATTGAGAAGTAGTGTGTGTGGGTGACTAATTTATACATAGTTGTCATAACAGGAATGTGCTGAGTAGAGGTAATTCCTGGCACAAAAGAATTGGGCCGGGAGAAGTTGCCCTTCTGTGATGCTCTGTCTGCTAAACTAGTCTGAGAGCAAGGGCCTTGTACTTTCCTTTGTATTCCCACGGCTATGTGCAGTGCCTGGCACTTAGCATTCAGTAAAGCTTTGTGGCACTTAGGAGATTCTGGAAGGATTAGTAGGAGCTGGGGTAGGGGGGAAATGGGCTCTTCACCCCCAGGAGCTATAGAGGCAGTGCTCTGGATGTTTGTGGAGGTACCTGTGTTCCTTCTGTTCTAGGTGGGGAGCTGCTTAAAGAGTGAGCTCTGCTCAGATGTGGCCTTCCTCAGGCATCTGTCACCCCAGCACATCCCCAAGGCTGCTGCTTTTTTCTTGTAGCAATCTCTTGAGATTCTAGACTCCTCTAGATAGGCCTTAGAATTGAATGCAGTTCTTCCTTGCTGTTCTAAGAGAGCTCTTTTTCTTTTAAGGCTAAGAAATTGAATAGTGGAGTGTTATATATGCTTGACAACATAGCTGTTAGGTAGCAGGTACCTGGTTTCTTTGTGAGGTAGAAAGACCCTTTGGGCTTTTGTTTTGATACTTTGGAAGCTTCAGATCTGCCCCACTTCTTCAGATGTAGCCTTTAGATGAACTCAAGGCCCTAAAAGTCACCCAAGTCCAGACAATAGTCTTCACTCCTCAGGTGGGCCACTTACTCCACTCTGGAGAAAACAACTTGGATGAGTCTGTTCCTCATAGTAAACTCTGCAGACTGGTAGATTTTCAACCCGGGACGGGAAGCAGATTGTGTCTTTCCTGATCAGCCGACTGGGTGAGGCCTTTGCAAGTCTTTCTGACCCTGCCCTCTCTCAGTGTGCCTGATGACCACTACACAGTTAGTTTAGCTCAACTATCTAGAGAGCAAGAATTTTTCATGTCGGATGTGAGGCCCTCTCAACCTGTTTTGTCACCATAAGTGTGTTTAAAGAAGGAAAGCACACCTACTCTCCTTAAACCTGGATTCTTACTTACATCTTTCTGCATTATTATAATTCATTTTATCATTATAGCTGAATAGTGTTGGAATAGTGAACTCTGTAGTGTTCTTCCTTCTGGCTCCACAGATAGTGGAAAGACGTCGGGTACTTTGGAATGCACTATCTTACTTTAGATTCAGCGCAAGTCAGCTGGAGACTTTCTGTGTGAGGGATGGCCAGTCTCCTTGAATGATCTTCTGACCTTCGGCTATACCCTGAGCTCTTCCTGGAGAAGGGACAGTTCTACGTCTTCTGTTTTGGACCTTTCACTGATCACGTTCTCATTCATTTCTTATACGGGACAGTAAGGCAGAAAGTTTTATATCATTTGCCAAGGATTGTCTGAGTATTTTGCTCTATCATACATAGTCTTATTTTTTTATAATAATAAATTTTACAACATTTTACAGTTTACATAGGTTATTTCGTTTACTTCTCTCAACTACCTTTTTGAGGGGTTTATGAGGATCATCAGTCTAGAGTTGAGGGCTCGTCTGTTAGGACTGTCAGGCTCCAAAGTTCTTCCCTCCTCTTAGGGTATAACCAATGTTTGAATCATGGGCCCTTTTGAAAATCTATTGCAAGCTCTGGGCCGTCTCCCTGCCAGAACAGTGTGCTCGTGTACCACAACTTTGAGAATCCTCAGGCCTCAGGTGCCCTGGAACCTAGAAGCTGGCACTCCTCAAAGGCTAGTGGACTTGTTTTTTGTCTAGTGGTGAGATTCGTAAGAAGTCAATGTGAAAACTCTAGATCTGGGAATGACTGAGGCGTGAGTTTTGGAAACCCAATAGAAAAAGGAAGGAGAATGGTTAGTGTTGTCGTCCTGGAGACCCAGGCTCTGTACTTGATATTCTGGGAGAGGCAGCTGAAGAGGACTGGCCCTTGTTCAAGTCATTCTGCATGTTGAAATGGCAGGTGGGTTGTGTTGGCAGGATTTGCGGATATGGCTGTAGTTGTCACTTCTTGATCCTTTTCTTGCAAGTGCCTGCAGATACGCTAGAGAGCTATGCTGTCCAATGTGACGGCCACTTGCCATGTGTCTTTTCAAATTAAAATAAAATTAAATATTCAGTTCCTCGGTTCCACTAGCTACATTTCAAGTGCTCAGTCGCCACATGTGGCTAGTGGCTACCATATTAGTGCAAATAGAGAACATTTCCATCATTGCAGAAAATTCTGGGCATTGGTGCTCTAGAGCAGTGCTTCTCAGCTCGACATGCAACAAATCTCTGCAGGAATCTTATTGCAATGTAAATTCTGATGTAGCAGGTCTCATGGGGACCAGGATTTCACATTTCTAACAACCTCCCAAGGGTGGTTATGATCAGCAATGCTGCTGATCCCAGACCACACTTGGAGAGGTTAGGTTCTCAAGAGTGGAGATGATAGTGTCCTATTTATTTTAGTTTTCATACATCAATTTACCTAGTAGATGATTAATCTGACAAGCGGAAATTATTTTTGAGCCTAAGTTATGTTTGTGGGTGTAATGGATTTTAAATTAATCACAAGGATCACATATTAGCATTGTTTTGCCTACTTATTAGAGAAATAAAATTGAAAATGAACAAACAAAATTTGGAAAATAGTTGATTTTTTTTTTCTCTCTCTCTAAATGAAACACTTGGTCTGGGGCCACGGGGCTCTGTCATTGCAGGGTCTGTTTACATTTTCAGTCTAAGGAAATCAGGTCTTAGAGGTTCCAGGGTTGTTTGTATATTTCCTTTACATAGTCTATAAAACCACAGCTCAAATTTGTCTTAGTTTGTAGAACCTGAGTGTAATAGAAAATGACTGCTGGGGAATGGAAATAACATTTTTAGGGTAAAAAAACTTTATGTATAGTGAATAAAAGTATGATGGAGAATGGTCACTGTCATACATGTTTTAGGAGCAAGCAGTGTGTAAATGGGGTGATGTACCTGAAACTAAAAAGATTATGTTTAGAAGTTGGCTTTTAGACAACATAACAGATACTACATTTAGGGCCTTCATAACTTTTCTTAGGAAGAAAAAATTTCTCTGAACCTTTTTTTTTTTTGATTTTACGTATATGACTTGTTAGGTATTTTCAGCTAGTAGAAATTTGCATGACTTTCTTAATTCCTCCAGTATTTATGCAGATCGACTTTTCTTATAATATGGATTAAATTCTAATTATTAAAGGGAGATGACGTAATTTTGACTATCCTTAGAACTTATCCAAGTAGCAAGGCAGAAACTGTGAACTGAATGGTGTGCCTCTCATCTCAGTACCTGTGGAATACTAAATATGGGGATATAGACCTTTAGAATTATTAATGTATGTCACGGAGCATTTGGCTTTCAGCATGCCCATTCAAAGAATGCGAGGAGTCAAAGGAGGAATTTATGGTTTGGAATTTCCGAAAGCCAGATAACGTTAGCAAGAGGGGATCTATTAGCTCAAACTTGGGAGGTAGAATTTCAGAGTTGAAATTTTC